GAGTCAATATCAATAAAAAAATGTTACTTTTTAAGAGAAATCAAAATGGTGAACTCAAAATGATGAAATGTTTGGAAAAGTGATGTCTGAAGATTATGGACATTCTAATGTGGACATATATATATATATATATATATATATATATATATATATATATATATATATCATTTTCTATATGTGGACAAAATATCATTTAAGAGAGAAACTGAAATGAATTGAAAAAATCTTTTGGATATGCGATGTTTGAAACTTGTGAAGAATTACCATATTATATGACCTATCTGATGTGCAGATAGAGTTGAGATGGATTTGGATGCTATCGGTATAATCGTCTCTCCCCTCAAAGAGCAAAGCCTCTATGAAAAGGAAATCCTCGTGTTTAACATTGCGTAAAGTAATAAGAATGAGACATATCCTTGTAATCGCATTGTCGATATTATCTGAACCATCTAGACTATTCTGACTGGGGCTTACTCCGCCATAGTACAAATGTTAGATGTAATCATTTTTATTGGGTTGAAGAAACTGGAGAATTTGTCATCATTTTAAAATATTTATTTATTTATTTATTTATTTATTTGCAAAAATTACACCAATTTAGTTTAAAAACAAAGTTTTTCTTAGGAGCTGAAGAACCAATATGAGTGAAAGAAGGGTTTGTCATCCATCAAAATCCCACCACCAATATTATTTGTTAGTACTGACCTGAATATGGTGATATGAAAAAAAAGCATATACAGTACATTTTAGTAAGAATCAGTAAGCTCAGATTTAATTTAATTGCTCCTGGCTTAAGTAAGTCTTCATGTGAACACGACTTAAATCCTTTTTTAATACGGACCACCTGTCTAATGGAAAAGGTCTGCAGAGTATAAGGTAAGGAAGAGAATAGATGAAAGCTTTGTGATCTTCTTGTATCTTTTATCTGATGGAGAGCTATGACTGTGATATATAGATTTGTAAAGGAAATCACCAGGTGTGTTTGTGTTTGTTTGAGATACAGCATTAATTGAAGTACATTAATCTCCCCTCCCCCCCCCCCCCCAAAAAAAAAAAAAAAGAAAGGGGGGGGAGGTTTAGTGTACTATATTCTCTTGAGAACATTTTTGGTTATCCAGACAGTGAAAACATGCATTTAAAAGAGTTGTCTTCCTCAACTTCCTCAACCAAAATTATACAAGCAAAAGTTTAAAGATCTCCCCTCCAAAACTAAAAAGACAGAAAAGAAAGAAAAAAGCTACAATAATCTCCTGAGAGCTTTATTTGCTTGTCCAAAAAGCTAAAATATGCGTTTAATAATTGTTTTCCTCAACCAAAATTAAACATTATAAAGGCAAAAGTTTGAAGTTAAAGACCCTTCCCCCCCCCAAAAAAAATATAATATTTAATAATAAATAAATAAATAAATAAATAAGGTAATAGGGAGGGGGGTAACTTAAAGGTTTATCTTTTAGTGTAATAAAGTCCATTTTCAGCCAGAGCCTGTTTTAGTGTGGTAGGCAGGCATGAATACAAGCTCTATATCTTTGTCAGCATGATCTTATATATATATAATCTCAGGAAATCTATCTGCACTTGTACATTGCTACTTAACTTAATCCCCTGATGGTTTTATTACGGCCCACCTAGGAGTCCTAGTAGCTTGAAAATGATCTAAAGGTATTCAGCCACTGGCCTTTATACACTGATCTCTCAGATAGTATCTAGAATACAAATTTTGTCCTCGCACTAACTTAATGTTATTTTATTTTTTAAATTTTGTTTTTTTCATGTTTACAGGGATGAGCTCTTTCAGACTATCTGCAGATTTCAGACTTTTTAAGAGCCCCCCCCCCCCAAAAAAAAAAAAAAAAATCATTGGCCTAGGCAGCCCCCTGAACCCCAGGTTGTTTTTTTTTTTTTTTCTTTTTCTGAACTAGATCACTAAATGGCAGTCTCATCCCTGTGTTTGCAAATTTATTTATTTACTAGAAAACAGATGCTTAACACATAATTTAGTGCGAATAACTGTAAATTTAGCAGTTGATTAGAAAAAACATATGGTATATCAAAATGTAAATTATGATTGATAAAGTTGTGATTTTCAAAAGGCAAAAATATTATATCTCATACTGGCAGTGTCACCTATAGTGGCAGTTCCCTGAAGAGGTTCTTGTGATAAAGGACAAAACATTTAGAGACTCTGCATAACATCTTGCAGATCTACGTGAGTGTCCAGTATAAGCTTTAATAATTTGCCTTTTCAGTATGTGTTCCTGCTCGAACAACATAGAGTGACTCCTGCTCTCACCACCAACACCAACCTATTATTGAACCGAGCAAATAATTTCTTCCTCTCCTCTCATATAGCAACTATAAATAGTATAGTAACTAAGGTTCATAATTGTCATTCTCTACACAGCTTAAGGTTGGGAGGGGACCCACAAAAAACTTGGCAGTGATGGATAATCCTCCCGCCTCGTGGCAATCTGACCTCTTACCTTTGATCCTGCGAATTTTTTTGTACTAGTACCCTCTGCGTTAAGGTAGCCAAGCGCTAGATAGAGTGTCATCAAGAATGATGGGAATGAGCGAATAAAAAAAAAATCATGATGATTATCGTGCATGACAAAGGAAAAGTTGACTTTATATTTCATGCAGAGACCCCAGCCAATTTTTACACCTCAGTCACATAATTCACCAACTCGGTATATTACTATTATTGCCAATCTACATATATTTATTTAAAACATATAAATATAAATACTAGTAAAAAAAAATATGAATGCATACAAAGTGTATAGAATATATAATTTATATAAATGATTACTTATGTATACAGTGTTGTATTAAGTTCTATCTAAAACATTTCCCCTGGAAAAGGTTTTTTAAGCCACATAATTGGTGAATTAATTCCCTGTCACCTACAACCATCAAAACCAGTTTGTCTAGTGTGACTGCTATCTTTATGGAGTTGCTTGCCAAATACTAGTATGTGAAATGCTTGTCATTCTTCTGATGTCTTTAGTGCCTTGATGATATTGGGACTATTTTAGTTGCATGTTCGTGTATATAAGTCTGTGTCAGTGCCATTGCATTAGTTTGCAGCTTACATGAGAAAGGAAAAAGAACATTAGAATGAGTATTACCTTCTCATTGACATCATTTTCCCCCTAATTAAAATTCGCCACTTCGGTCTTTTGTATATTCCTGTTGATTTAGGAGAGACAAAATTATCAATACAGTATTTATTTATTTATTTATTTATTTATTTATTTATTTATTTATTTATTTATTTATTTATTTGATGAGGTTAAAATATTTATAGATGAGTGAAGATTCCACAAGTAAAAAATACTCTATAGTTAATATCTATCTGATGTCTGGGTTAAGATTTATTCATTTCCTTTTGATCTGAATTGATAAAAATTGGTTGGCAGTGAGCTTTTATAGCACTGATTGGGGCCTCTGTTCCAATGACTGTCTATAATATAATATAATATAATATAATATAATATAATATAATATAATATAATATAATATAATA